GCATTTTGGTTGCTGTACAGAAATTGCATGTTTTTCTCCTACCTTCTGCAGAGCTCAGTGCTGTTTTAAACACTTTATTGGAGAAACTCGCTTGGAGGACCTCATTCTCTCCTTTCTAGTCCTCATCCTTTTCCACATGTCTCTTATCTTTCCTCTCAGATAATACTTTGAATCTGTGCAAAGCTGCTGTCTTTATTTAGGCTTTGGAAAGGGAAAGACAGAGACGAGATGTGGCATTTCCATGTGTTTGTTTTTCTAGTCCAGCTTTTGCTATGCACCGCAGAAACCTTCGTGGTGCTCCGTGACGCTGTGATTTTGCATGGTTTTGTAGTCAGGCAAACAGATGATAGTGAAGCTGTAAAAAGTGTCAACATTGTGTGCTCGGTTTAATGGGTGCTAATGCCTTCTTTCTACTGATGAGATGCTGCGACTACTAAACTTCAGTATGAAAAGTGCCAAATATTGGCCTTTAAGTTTTCATTTTAAGGACACTGCTTCCATAAAGAGCCCTTCCACAGAGCTCTTACACAGTGCTCGTGCCAACACAGAGTTAGGAGAAAAGGAAGAAAATCCAGCAAATATCTTTATCTAGCCCTTTCTAGCCATATACCTATGTTCCTAGATGTATTATTTCAGGTGCTGCCATCCAACGTGGTACCAAGATCATAAAAAATAGTTTGTTTCTGCAGAAGAACAGGCTATTTTGGTTTCATTTTTGTTTTTCTTTCTAGTTTGGGAGTTTTCTGCTGCCACGTTTGCCCTGTGGTACCTACCTCCCCTAGGTACATTTGTGGGACCCTATTCTTGTCCCCCTCTATGCTGATGCCTACAAGTATTGAAAATCAAACACACTGGCTCGCTTAGGCTTCAGAGGGATAAAGGTGAAATGGTTTTCAATCTTTTTGTTTGACCATAGGTGAACTTTGCCATATCCAGCTTTACCAGGTCCTCCTGACTAGATAGGTCATGATCCGCTATTTTTGGAGAGGAGAGACCACACTGTGCACGTGAGGAGCAGTAATGAAGGTCTGGGACAGAGCCAGCCAGGGAGCAAAGAACTCGCAGAGTGGGGAGCAAAGAAGCCGCAGAGTGGGGAGCAAATGCTCAGTTGAAGAACGTGTGGTCTCTCCTGCTTAAGCAAAAGATAAATGATCTTTATTAAAATTTTGGGTTATGCAAAAGGCTAGTTTCAGACAGCTATTTCTCTCCCTCTCCTGTGTTTACCCATGTGGTGACCTGGATGTTAGAAGAGAGACAAGGTAATTGTGTTGGCCTTTGCCTGGCTGGTGAGGCTTAGTATGGAGCTTAAAAATAATAATAAAGGAATAACATCTTTTCTCAGTCCCCAGCTGCCAAAATTAAGATGTGCAAGGACTGGGATCAGGGTTTTCATGGTACATTTTTTGCCTTTTTTTTTTTTTTTTTTCTTTCTCTCCCCATAAATGTGGATGGGTAGTGGGAACAGGGCAAACTCTGCCCAGGACTTTGTGTTTTTTGACTTACACAGACTTAATGTCAGATTAGTTCAGCAGCTTAGTGGATGCAATTCTAGGAAGAAAACAATGAGAATGACATAAATGTTGAAGAATTGGATTGCATGGGTCCTGCTGCAATAAATGACGTATAAGAGGGGTAACTTGGGTTTGAGCCTGTGAAAACTAGGAAAGCTTTTGGCTTATGTTCTCATTATTAATTTACTCACTTAGAGAAAAACAAAATATTCTTTGTATAAATCCTTATTATAGGCCAAATTAAGTATGTCACTGCTTAAGAAATCCCACTGGCTTTGTGAAAGCTGACTCAGACTTGGGCATGAGCTTCAGTTGTTTGCTAAACAAGAATCAAACTGATTTTTCGATAACTTCATGGTGTTTTTTTAAAAGACTTCACCTTAAGATGTAGAAGACCAGTAAGTTTTGTAATTTAGTCTCCAGTTCTCTTAAGTTTATGCTAGTTAGCAGTGGTGGGGAGCAAGGCTTTGGGCATGTTGCCTGGCAGGTGAATATCGGGAGATTTTCAGTGGAATTGCTGTTCCCGAGAGTATATTGAACCTGTGTTGATTGTCTGGTGTTGATAGTTACGTGTTGCTTAAATTCATATTTCATACTTTTGAAGGACAGCTCTCTTCAGTTTAAAAGTATTTTTTATTATATAGTGATTTAAAATCTTCTGAATAAGCTTAAATTATTGTTTTGAGTTTTGGAAATGCCTCTGTTGACAGCTACATCTTTTATTATAAAATATGCTATATGTAAATTTTTTTGAATTTGAGACGGTTCTGCACTGCCTGTGCTGAATTTTAATTCACCTACTTTGGTCTATATAGCACCCAATTAAATGCGTATAGGGATTATGCTCTCTGAGGTCTTGATGACATGTTAGATTTGGGATTATATCTGGGGGATAAATAGAACAAAATCAGAGTGAACTAAATAAATGCAGTTCTTCTTTAAATAGACTTCTTGGTGTTTCAAAAGTTGATCCTCCAGCTGAGGAAGGGAAGGAGAAATATACAGAACAGTTGTGCCTAAAAATAGTTTTGTCTGACAAATTATAATATACTGCTTTTGCCATAACTTATTCTCAAGGTGCTTTCTCTTTTAAGGCTGTAATTTTCTGTGTTCTTTCCCTTCCTGTTACATGGAAGGATGTTTTCATTGTGGCTTTATGTATGGCACGTATCTGGTCATGTTGAGTAGTCTGTGACCCCAGATCTTCTGTTTCACTGCCTGTTTTTAAGGTGTTTCTAACCAGTTCATTCTCTGTATTTGAAAGCCGCACAATTACTTGTCTGTTCCCAAAAAAAAACATACTTCAGATGAACACCATGCAGGGTATAAATTGCGTATGAATAAAATTTGCGTTGAAGTACCATTTTTATTGTCATGGTTTTTTTGTCGGAAGACAGATCCTTTCAACAGCTGTGGCATAGGCTTATATTTCATTTGCTGGTTGGCAGTGCAAATGTATCTAAAATGGATGTATCGGCATCTAGCTGTGACATGTTCCCATTTGTTCTTTAAAGTCTTGACTGGAGCATCTAGACAGTTACTAATACTCAATATTTGGAACAAATTAAAGCTGTGAGTTAAAGGATGTGGGATGGGGTACCGAATGTTCACGTACCCAAAGACTACTTCTAAAATAGTAAATCAAACTTCTGTTTTGAAGAGAACTTTGTAAAGTAGCTAGTTAGAGCGTATGCTTGTATTTTAACTAGTCCACTCTTCTAATATTGCCCTCTGAGGAAGTGACAAATTTGCATTCAGTCCCCTGCCATTTTATATGCAAATACCCTATAAGATGATTCTCCTGTTTGCTAATGCACTTCATACTGCATTTTAAGCATCATCTTGAGGAGTCTGACACTTTTTTTTAGTGCTGTCTTTATGTCTTGCTGGCACTTTTCTGTCCAAAATGGACATGAAAAGCTCTTTATTTTTTTTTTCCTCCCAAAAGTTTCATCAGAGAACTGTTTTGATGGCTTAACTTCAAGCATTTGATCTTGAATTCATCAGCCTTCTGATTTTTGAGCCCTGCAATTAACATTGTCAGGCTTGATCTCTTACGTGACCCAGTGGTCAAAGCCAACTGTAGGGAAGTATATCTGTAGCCAGACTTAGTTAATTCAAATCAGTTTGTAAGCCTTATTTTAATTCTTCTAAAGAAATGTAGATTATTGGCCCTGGAGTGTAGAGCGCCGAGTGTATCGGTAGTTAATGGTGAAAGCATAGGATTTGATGGTTCAAAGGGATTAAGCTGCAGAGTTGTTAAGAGGTTGAGGAAGGGAAAAGATTGGGCCAGTTCACAAATCTCATAACTGTCAGGAGCCCTCAAGTGCCAAAGCAGATATTTCATGTATACTCAAGAGATCAGAAAGTTTACAGAGAAAATCATCTTGCAGGAGGAATCTTGACTTAAGGCTTCATTACCTTTATAAAAACTTGATAAGCTGTGCCATGCAGACGTGTTCAGTGTTGCCAGCTGTCATTAACCCAGAGGCATTGGGGGTTCCTAGGAGCTCTGCTTTGACTTTTGGAGAAATTAAATCTCAGGATTTGGGTACAGCAGAAGTTTTTAAGAGAGTCTCTCAAAGGTATGATGTACACAAAGCAAGTCAGACTGTGGTCTCAGGAAATACATATGCACCTACTTTTGGCAGCCCTGAATTTTTCAAAGTATTTGATGTGTTTTTAGATATGGTTTGACTTTGTGGCTGTGATGATGTAAGCAAGTTGCTCCCCAAATAAACAAACCTTCTCCTCCCTGGCGTTGGCTTTGGCCTTGGCCACACTCTCATGCCCTTTTTCTTGAGTTGACACTGGCTCCAGTTGACACACCCTTGACAAGGTGAGTTGCTTCAGGGAGGTGAACCAGCAGGAGAACATTCACCTGTTTTGGTTGTGGGTTTGATTTTTGTATTTTCTTTTCTCCTCCCCTGGCATACCTCCCTAAGCCAGCTCACCCTGGGGTCAGATGACTCCAAGGGTGTGGAGCTGCCCTCCATTTCAGCAACACATCGCAGATAGCGTCTCAGCCCCACGGTGATGCTCCACACTGACTAAACAGCAACATCTCAGTTGTCTCACCAATTCCTGTATTGATTTTTTAGATCCCATGAGTTAGGCTTACCACTGGTTTGGGAGCAAGTTGGGCAGAGGTGGGAAACTAGGGGATGTGAATGGTGCTCTCTGCACTAGTCCAAATGAGTTCACAGCAGATTGTAAGCCTGTCTTCACTTGAGAGAAGACATTGCAGGGTGGTTATTATTTTTTAATTAAAATGCTCTTGACTTTCATTGGCAGTGAATTCAGACATAACATAGGCTGGGACCTCTTCATTATATTAAGAAGTCTTTGTTCCAACTATATGCTATCAAATGACTAATTTCGTTTAGATTTCTGAAAATGCTGAACTGCAACTCAGCCTTTGCGTTGAGTAAAAAAACTACTGAAATAATATTAACCAAAACACTGTTTGCTCTTCCTTTTTCTGTTCAGCATCTGAACCCAATCTGAAGTTAAGATCCAGACTAAAGCAAAAAGTTGCTGAAAGACGGAGCAGCCCCCTCTTGCGCAGAAAAGATGGTCCGGTGGTTACTGCTCTTAAGAAGCGTCCGCTGGATGTCACAGGTACGTCGGGTAAGCAACAAGTCTGTGCCAGCAACCACATACTCAGTGAGATGTCCCTTTCCAAAATTAATTCCTGCATCCAATTAATTGTGCAATCTGGATCTCTCTTGTGCCTCTCAATGTTGGCGAAACCTGGATGAAGTTGGCAGAGTTCAGCAGTGGGTGATGCAGGTGGGCATCAGCAGCGTTGGTCCGCTGGGTACCCATCTATGGAGACAGCGTTACCAACTCAATGAGCTTTTTTTGTAGTTTGTTTTAAGACATTTGTAGACAGATGTAGATATGCCACCAGAGTGCCGGTTTTTTTCCCAAGCATTTCTATGATCTTCAGCAACAGGTTGTTGAGAAATAAAATTTCTCAAAGGTTATTGTATTAATATCCATGGAGAGGCCATAATTCACGGCTGTCATCCTCAGCAGTAAATGCTTTACAACCCCTGTTTGTTTTAGGTTTTGGGCAGACTGCCATAGTTCCTTGTTAAGTAATTACACCAAAGTTTTAAAACATGTAAAGCATTTTTTTATATACATAGCTGATATTTCTGACTACTTATTTGACAGTTTCTGTTGAAAAATAGTATTCTTCCGGGAGCAAAGTTTGTAAGGAGGGATCAGAGTAAAGTAGATTCTATAGATTACCATAAAGTTAATTCTTAGCACCATCTAGGGATGCCTCTGTGTAAATACCGCTATGTGACAGCTTTTCCAGACTTTTTGCTCACTTTAAGGTGCACTATCATCATTCAAACAAACTCAAAGTGATCTCTCTTTAAAGAGCTGGGTGGTTTTGGGAGACCCTGGGGCAGCTATGCACCATTCTGTCAGAGCCTCTCTGTTTGCAGAGGGAATAGATGATTTCAACAGCTAAGCATAATTTATATCAGATCTGAAAACGGAGTTTACTTCACTCCTCATATATTGCTATATGTCACACGGCTTTTAGGATAAATCAAGCCCTAATGGCTGACCATTTGGTCCCAGTAATGCCTTGAGAAATGGCAGTGGAAGCTCCAGCTTCTCACTGAGCTATGGACCTGGTTCAAGAAGCCAGCCTGGAGCCTGACTAGAAAAATATCTGAGTTGTTACAATAAGCGGGGACTTTTGAATGGAAAATAACCTTTACAAGAAGTCCCACTTCAGGGAATAGAAGTTTAATCCTTGAAGAATACATCTTCATAGAGTAACAGATTGAATGTGCCAGGTACTTTTTCTATGTCTAGGTCGTATACACAAGATCTAGTATGTTGTAGTTAATGACACAGGCCCAGAAAAAACACGTGTTTTCCATGCAATTAGAGTACATTTTCAAAACACCTAGAGTCTCTGAAGTTGCTTTGCATGGAGCCAAGTTCCATTTTAGGTGCTCAGTTGGGTGTTACTCAGTGCTGAGTTTTCTTGATAGCGAGATGCTTCCCCAAATGCACAGCCAACAAAAAGCAACAAGGCTTCTTTTTTTAAATAAATATCTTTGTTACTTTGCTGGAGGTACTTGCAAGGATCAAAATAGCAGAACAGTATGTACAGAATAATGCCACGAAAGAAATAATTTTTAAAAATCTCCCAAATTATAACAATTGGCTTTTATTTCTACTGGGGCATCCTAGAGCAATTATGAGACTGCTGCAGCCTGAACCATTGCAGCTGCTGGGAGATTCTTCCGGCGTTGGGCAAATCCTGTGCTTGGGGAGGAGGAAAGTTCAGAAAAAAAGTGTTAATGTTATTTATCTTCCAAAATAAAAGGAGAAACACTGGAGGCTATGCCAGATACCAGGTGAGACACTTTCTGAGGGAAGTTTTCTGGCTGTTGCAATTTCATGCGCTCTTTCTGTTTGTAATTATTTCTATATCATTAATGGGGAGGCTTTGATTTCAGGCTGGTCATCTCTGTGGTTCTGGTTAGTGAGTTCACAGAGACTGTGTTGATAAAATGCACAACGCTGAAAGGATTTTCTGAGCGTTCAGGTGATAACAGAATTATTTTGGGGCATTAACTCTGCCTTGGGTCTTTCCAATGAGGAAGTGTTTTACTCCTTGAGTAGAGAACACTTACCAAAAAAACAAAAAGGCAGTGATTTGAAACAGATCTACTGTTTTGGACCCTGTCGAGTTTTGCCTGATTTTTGTAAAATGTGTTCAGCCATGACCATGGCCAGTTGTCCATCCAGTCCCATGTCACTCAGGCAGCTTTTAAATCTCTTAAAACAATTTAATTTGCCATCCTGGCAAAATATCATCCTTGTGAGTCAGTCCCCAGGCAGTTTTTGGGAGCTCAGTGCCATGGGAGCTGTTCTTCTGTGTGAAGGGCAGCCCAAGGCAGGTTGTGTTTCTCCGAGGACCCAGCACAGTGTGGGCACTTCCCAGGTGACGGGGACAGGGACATCACACATGCCCGCTTGCCTGCACCGGAAAATCTCGGTGCTTCTTCATAAAAGCAGAGGTCAACTCTCATGCATGATCAGCATGAGTGCTCGGTGCTGGCGGCGTATTTCCAGTAAATCCAGATGCACCAGAAGCCTGCATGGGAAAATGTCAACGCCGAGACGGTTCTCTAGTTATTCCAGCGTGAAGTCTGATGCAATACGTGGCGAAAGGGTATCGTTAGGGTTATAGGCTAAAGAGGGTGAGAGAAGCACTTCTAGAAAAATGAAGCAGGACAATCTGACATCCTCCAGTTTGGCCTCTTCAAGCCTTCCATGTCTTTTATTATCTTCCAATCATATTTAAAGTTATTAATATACTATAAGAGAAATCCCCATAAGGAGAAGACATAAATATGGTAAGTAGGTACTTGGGCAGACCATTTGAAAGTGTTTGTCAGTATTTTAAGAGCCCTGGGAAGATTTAGGGGGGAAAATGAGGAGGAGGAGGATTGCTTTCCTCCAAAAGAAAACTTGAGGGGTTGTTATCTGTCTAAATACCATCACAGAGATTGTTTGTAATGCTGAAAGTTGGTTTTGGATGTGTTTTTAGACTCTGCATGCAACAGTGCTCCTGGATCTGGTCCCAGCTCTCCAAACAACAGCTCCAATAACATAAGCACCGAGAACGGAATTGCGGGATCAGTCACGAGTATTCAAGCAGAGGTACAGAGCCCTTTCTCACTCTTTTTTAACGCTTGGGTTTCTAATCAGTTTTTGCAGAGTTTTAGGAATTTAGGCATACAAACCGGTGTGCACTACACCTAAAAAAAACCAAACCCAGATCGTGACTTGGAGCTGATTTGGGGAATTACCTCTCAATCTGGGCTGACAGGATGCATTATCTGTTTATTAAATCTAGTTTGAGCCAGTTCACAAGCTGCTTGTGGTAACTTGTAGTGGTTTTGTTGTGAGGAGAGAGTAAAAATAAAGTGATTTAGCAAGGTAAAGCATGAAGAGCGTTTCCTGGTCAAATGCAAGTGTTTTAAGATTTGGGGAATCTGTTCTCATATATTGTATATAGGGTGAATTTGTTGTGTGCAGTAGGTTAGTCTAAATATAACCAAACCAGAACTGGATTAAAGGGAACGGATTTAACCTTTTCCTCCCCACTTAGGGATTTGAAAGCGTGGTGCCTGATGCCATGTGCTAGTTTATAATTCCATGAGGTTTCACCATCACTTGAGCCATCTGCTATTGATGTCAAGGGCAGGATGTTGGACTGGGTAAACTAGGGTTTGATTCAACACAGCAGCTCCTGTGTTCAGGGTTACTGAAGCCCACCTTTTTCTAAGGGCAGATATTGGGGTGTGGGCCATGTTAACTGGCTTCCACTGTAAAACTTGCATGTAGAAAACCAGTGTGGTTGTGTAAAGTTACTAGTGTATTTCTTTTTATCCAGCTTACCATTAGCTGTTCTCCTCATGAATATAGTGTCTGTCTTAACATCAGGACTGTAAAAACAGGCTTGGGCTTGTTCTCCCCAAATTGTCATTTAGAATTGAAAAAGGCTTCTTACAGTATCAATGTAGGCCCTTATTGCTTTCTAGTTTTGTACAGATTTTCACTTTTTTTTTATTTCTGATGTAGTGTAACAGCATTTGATATGGGGAGTATGCCTTCTACTCCACCCTCTCCACTGCCAAATTATCCAACACACATCTACATCCACTCTAGTCTACTGTAGACCTTACAAGATTTAGACAGTTATTGTAAAGATTAAGACGGTGTAAGGCGGAGTCTTCGCTTGACACTGGCAGCTGAAGCTGCTCTAAAGAGACGTGGCTTTTAAGATACACACCGACCACGTAGTCGTTTGGAGCAGGTCTGGGAACACGTTTCTTACATACAGGGTTATTTATCAGGTCTGCAGAACTGAAGACTGGCTGAGCTGAGGGCACATCTTAGGTACGTTTGTGTTAGCCCCAGGAAGACTAGCGCTTCATTTCTAATTGTTGCTAATTGCTAATCCAGGAGCTGTCAATCTTGTCTATACTTAGCAAACTGCAAATCCCCAATTACTGCTGGTGAAAAAAACTAGAGGATTCAACAATTTCTTGTGATATAAACAGAGCAGGCAGCTTCCCAAAGTCAGTGTTAGCTCATGCAGGTGAATGTGAAGCTGTAGTATTCTCCTTTACCATTTTAGTTTTCAAGTAAATAATTTGAGCTAATCATCTGTGACTAGACCACCAATACCTAATAAAGTGGACACAGACTATTAGAAGAACTCTTTTCATCAACTGCTTGTAATGCAGCAATTTTGTAAGCTAGGCTGAGGCATGAGCGGCACAGATGATTTGGAAAAAAAATATACTATACTGCTAAAGCCTTTCCCTGGGACTTGTCATTGCCTCTTTTGCAGCTGTACCGCAGTGGGTAATTCAGTGATGCCGCTGGATGCAAGGAAAGAAGCGTGTTCATCTAGAATTTTAACAAGATTAGCATTTGATGCACCATCTCCAAACCTATGTGAAAAGGAGAAAGAAAATCTCGTTTTCATTTCCCTGAAAATAATGGCTAGAGTTTTTTCACCTTTTTATAATTTTTGGGAAATGGGAAAAATGTAACATACCAATGATTGTGCAGTTCCAATTTTAAAACTGCCCAGGACTGTGTTAAGTATATTGGATCATTGCCATCTCAGAACAGAATGAAACATAAATCACTGTGTGATGGCAAACAGAACATCGGCAACCTGTTGCACAAACTGTTCTCCTCCCAGCATTTCAGGCGTACTTGAATGGCTGAATGGCCTAGTCCTTTGCATTTGTTTTTGGGAAAAAATAACTTTGCACTTTGTTCCAGCATTTCATGTTGTGTGATACTAGCTGATCCTTTTGCCTGTATAGGTTCATTTGCGAAAAAATAACTGGTCAAGGTAGGGTTTTGGTTTCTTTAAAATCATCATCTTCAGTAGAAGTAGTATTGCCTGGTAGCCCAAGTGTTGGAGATTTCTTCAATACTAGTTGACCAGGCTTTCTCATGTTCTCACTTTTAAATATTTAAAAATATTTAAATGTTTCTGAAAAAATAACATTGCCAACTTTAAGAGTTGCATGCTTACCTTCATGTTTTATTTTAAATGAGAAATATGCCTCTTTGCTTTTTAGTTTGCTAGGTCACCACTTGAACCATTTCAGATATGTTGGAAGATAGTATCTGAGTTCATTATTTAAGTTTCAATGCTTGTCTTCAGTGTGGAAAGGCTACAGCTCTCTGCCTCCTTTTAAAATAGACAATATCTATTTTTAAATGCTGTTTTTAAATCTAAAGGTTTTTCTGTCTCTGAAAGGTACACGTGCAGTTGATACAAGACTATAAAAAGTACTTGACTGCAGACGAAAATGCTGAAATTGTTCTCTTCTGTGCAATTCAAAAAGTGTTTGTGTACAACCCATAGATGGGATCTGTATATTTAATGCTGCTAAATACCGTATGCTGATAGCGTCAAGCTGCTGCGTTTTTCTCTTCGCTGTTTTTAAAACAAATCCCCAGGAGATAGTTTGAGGCAGAGCTACAAAGTATTGATTGTTCAAAGAGAAAATGGATGTAGTTTTGTTTCATTTATGATATCAGTAAAATATTTCATTACTGTGCTGACAATAATTACCTTATTCTCCATGAGGCATGTTAACATGTAATTTAAATTAAAGCAAAATTGCCGGTAGTGATCAAAATTACTTGGAAGAAGTGTGTGGGTATGCATAATCACATGCCCTTACCAGGTAACGCTCAACAGCAAAATGCTCCCTGCAAATTTTCTCCTTTGGGGCAGCAAATTGTGAACTGAGATCTTAAAAACAGATTTACTCTTTTTACGGGAGAACTGATCTGTATATTTCCAATAAGCTTGAAAGACATAAATGAAAGCACAAGAAGGCAAAAGAAAATAAGAAAAAATTCACTTTGCAGATGAAATTTTGCATAAGGTCGTATGAAACCTTAGGTGACTCTGCTGAACGTCGGGAATTTAGACAAAGTTGGACACTGGGAGAATGACTGGCAAGTTAATGCCACATCGAAGAATCCACTTGAAAAGGCAGCCCAGTGTCTGATAACGGTGACAAACACAGTCGTAGGATGACTTTATTCCTCCTGTCCTTCTTGTGTGGGCAGCACCAACCTCAGGTGCAGAGGTGGGGTGTCCTGTTAAAGCTGTCCGCTGGTCTGGTTAAATTTTGATTAATCAAGGAGGCAGGATTGCTTTTGAAGATTGTTTTATAGAAAATGTTTGTTTTTCAGTATTAGTTCTTATGTGCTATTTTTTTCCGCTAATAGGTTGCTGCAGGATTTTTTCAAGTTTCACCTTAGAGTCTTTGAGGAAGGAAAAATAGGATTTCATTATCCAGAACTGTCCCAGCCCTGCAACCAAGGAAATAACCTGCAAAGTCTCATTGACTTAAAGGATGATGAATTTGGGTCTAAAATGTATAAAGCCATTCTTCAGATCTCTGTTACATCGATATAAATTGTTCCGTAGTATAATATTAAGTTAATCATAATCCCTTTTTTCGTAATAGCACCTGAGTTAAACAGCAGAAATTCTATAGAAAGTCTTTTTGAAATATAAACTCTATTTTATTTAAGTTGGAAAATCACCTGCAGAGAATTCAGGGTGATCAGAACTCTTGTTTCCTAACAGGAAAATCGGGCAGTTTAAAATAATGTAATTTTTATAATGGGTTTTCTAGCACGTATTTCAAATCAATCTTGTTTTGAAATTAAGGGTATTTTCACTTAAGTGTTCCTGCTTTAAATGGCCATAAGATAATTCAGTAAATCTCGCATTTCACCCTGAAAATCAGGAAATAGCTACATAAATGCAACCTTAAGGCTTTTTGATGAAATTTTGAAGTCTGATTTAAGCTAAAGCACACTAGCAAATAGCATAAATTGCCTGTGATTTGCTAAAGAGAACAATAGCCATTGTAATGCCATCTTTTTTTTAAGGTAATCTGTTTTAGCTTTAAAAGGGCAAATACTTGAGAAGGATATGTAAGCTGTTAAATCTTCTTTCGCAAAAGCTTTTTGCAGTGGCACTGCATGAAGATTGAGCAGAAGCAGAGTACCACTGAGGATGCAGGGGTGATCTTTAGTCTCCAAGAAAGATCAAATGAATTGTACAAGGTCTCTCTGTAGGTCAGCGAGGTTGGCAGCAGTTACAGAGCGAGATCATCCCTGTGTTGGTTATCCTGGTCTCGTTGCCCCCTGCGTGGCCTCGGCAGCGGTGTTCAGGGCATGCACCTAGTCAGTGCCTATTTAGGTTGGATCTGAAGCACAGCTTAGCTCCCCTGTTCAGTGTTTCCAATGTCAGCTCTGTACGTTTCTGCTGTGTCCTCTCAGCAAGTGTACTGTGTCCTTGATCCGAACTGTGGATGCTCTCACCAGGACAATGTTCTTGATTTTGTTTCCAGACCAGCCTGGCTCACAGACTTGTGAATCGTGAAGGCTCGGTAACACAGCTTCCACTCTACACGTCTCCTTCTTTGCCCAACATCACGCTAGGACTGCCTGCAACTGGCCCTTCCAGCGTAAGTTGTGGGGGGGTTGCAGCCTTTGAAATGTAGCTTGCACTGCTTTATCCCTTAACCCGCTGTGCCATCAATTGTGCGTTTGCAGGGAGGATCAGCACAGCAGGATGCGGAGAGACTTACTATCCCAACCTTACAGCAGCGGATCTCTTTATTTCCTGGCACTCACCTCACTCCCTACTTGAGCACTACAACGTTGGAAAGAGATGGGGGAACTGCACATAACCCTCTTCTGCAACACATGGTCTTACTGGAACAGCCAACCGCACAAACTCCCTTAGTCACAGGTGAGCGCTCCATAGATAATGTGCAAAACTCAGTCCCAGCTGGGGAAAGAGAGCAAGTGATACCTGTTTTTTTGTAAAGTCTCTTCTCCTGTGCAAAAGAGATGCCGCACCATCTGTATATTCTGTAGGTATAACATATAACCTTTAGGATGTGTTTGTTGATACGTTGGATAGTGGTGGCATTTGCAAAATCAGAGGTTGCCCACCTCATCCAGAGGTAGGGGGAAGCTGCCTTGTCATTTTGGCGAAATGAAAATAAATAGTATTTACTTCCATAAGTAAAGCGTAGGTTTGTAGGTCACAATTTAAAACTATATAGTTAGAGTTCTAACCACTTTAGATTAAAGTGGAGACAAAAACGTTGTGTCTTATGATTACCCTTCCTGTTTATCACGGATGGTTTCTATTCTGTATATGAAAGGCACGCATTTACAAAATCTCAGATTAAAAGAGTTGCTTTTCGTCATTATTATAAATGGGAAGAACATGGCAAAATCAAATGTATTCAAACAGATTGTATTTGTTTGTATATATTACATTTTCAGTATGCTAATTGCTTTGAATCACTCCCTGTGTCATATTTTCAGAATCAAGTACCTGTGGGAAGGCATATTTCTATAAATAGGGTTGATTCAAAGCAATAATCCCCAGTAGGACGCATTTCTGTTCTACAGCGTGTAATGTTGGGACAAAGGATGTTCTGCGTAAGTTATAGACATGTTGATTTTTATTTCTTTCATTCCATTTCTAATGGAAACTCTTGAGAGATGTTGTTCACTGAAGCATTACAGCACGGCTCTGGTTTGGCTTGTGTCTGGTTTTACATTCATGTCCCAGGAATATACGTGGGGTTGTGATAAGCTTATAAGCATGTACATATGGGGAAATTGAAGCACAGAACTGTGGTATTTAGCCAGCACTCTCAGAGCTGTGAGAGTGGTGTGTGCAGATTCCTTGAACCTTTACGTAATTTTTAGTTGCCTCCTTCTGCCGTGGTTGCTGTGGCATGATGAGGTTACCCAGAGTCATGACGTGACTCTTCACCAGTTGCCCTTTGCCCAAGGTCTGTTGATGAAGAGCCATTGGAGACGACTTCCCTTCTTATCCTATCACCAAAACTTTCTTCTCTGTTCGTGCTGGCGTTTGCTTTGAAGCACACGTAGGAAGAAGTGCTGTTCTGTTTTCTGTTCGACCTCTCTCAAAGCTTCCCTCAATTTACAGTGTACTGTGTTTGCTTCCAAGTGTGTTCTTTCTAGTCCACCTGCTACGTGCGGTGTTTTCAGAGTGAGTACAACATGTTATAAACCAACACTTAGGAGAAATAGTCACAATACAACAGAGCAACAAGAAGAAACGCACGTTCCAGATGCAGCAACTGAAAGAGAGCAAGCTAACACATGGTCTCAAAAGCCCTGAGTGGACTGGCTGCCAAACTACATTTAGTACTTAGAACTTTCTTGGAAGCAAAGTGGAGTTCATTAGTATTCTGTTGATAGCCTTCAGCTCTGGAGATAGTCTCCTGGCGGCTGCAAAATGATCCAGCATGATGGCATGCTCTTTCTGTGTAGGAAGGTAGACATGGGGGTTTTGGGAAACTAGAGCAGAATTCCTTAGGTCTGCTGTTCCTCTTGTGAGGTTACTCTGCATAATATCCATCACGTTGACATGTATGTTCTGAGTAGGAACAAGGCGTCTCCCTGGAAAGCTTTCACAGGGGGACCTTGGTCATTCACTTGGAGGAAGGTAGTCTTCCAAGGTGTTCTATGCAAACTGTATAGGATCTCTTCCTCGGCTGTCTAATTTGAACTTTTGGGAAGAGGAACTGTGCTATAAGGGAGATGGACCACATCTTTCCAAATTATTCATATATTCATATACACACAGATATTTGTAAAATAAGATACCCTTTTACCTGATTCTTTTGAGAAAAGCAAAGGATGGAAGAAACTCAGAAAATCTTTCCATCAATGAGTCAGATTCTTCCACGTAGGGCAGTTCAGTGAATCGGTGGGATAAAGAGAGAATGTCCTGGGACAGAAATGTCAAGGTGTTTCTAAACTGCTGTATTCAGCTGCCTGCAGACTTCTGGGCAGCTTCTCTTTCTTCTCCACCAAAGATTGAAGAAAGAGAAGATACAACTTCACTGACTCTTGAACTGGGCAGTATTTCTGAATGTTACTGATGACTTGCGCATCTTTAGTTTGTTTTATACAATGACATAAAGCAAAAGAGTTCTGTTTTCCTAAAAGTGTGTGCAGCCTTATCTAATTAGGGAGACACCAGTGATGCCTTTGTATGCCAAGGTGTAACGAGCAAAAGTAAAGGCTTGTTCTTAGCTCCTCCACCCTTGGGTTTGGCTTTGTGTTGGGCGTGTCTTCATGTCCCAGCTTTCTAAGAAGTATGTGAAGGTATGTTTTCAGAGAGCAGAGCAAGAACTGGCTTACCCCAAGAACAGCTAAAAAGACAAGACACTTCCTGAAGACATGCCCTTACCAGAGCTCAGATAGGTATTTCACATGGTAGTCATCAGAGATACCTAAATTGCCAAGGGCATGTGAGTAACGCAAGTTATCCCAAAATAACCTTATGTTTTCATTGAGTTACTAGCATGTATAGACAAGACAGTGATGGAAGCAATTCTAGCTATTTGTCATCTTGGCCTCATAACTTGCCTTCTTCCTACAGAAACAATGAAGCCTGATGGCTCCTATATTCCTGAAATGATTCAAGGGAGTGCCTTTTTCCAACACAAGCTGGTCAGGGGTTTATCACATGGACGTTTTCATCCCTAGTCATTTCTGTGGGGCGGGGTATAGCACAGCCAAGGGCAGACGTGCTTCCCTACATGGTCTAGAGTGGGAAGCAGCCTCATCAGCATCCATCATCCTTCAGCATATCCTGTGAGCCCCCTCTAAGGTATAATTGCTGGATGCTGCGGGGTGGCAGCTTGGGTTGGTACTTTCCTAGAAATGAACCCAGGATTACTCCCTGTACAAAGGCAAGCAGTAAGACTTTAACTTCTCCAAACCACCGCTGTGATCTTAATTCATGTCACCCACCGAGTGATGGAAGGGTCCATAAGGTATCGCTGATTTCAAGAAATGAAACATTTCCCTAGGGTCTCTGGGTAAACAAAGAATTCAAAAGAAAGCAAAGTATTACTCCATCCAATGGTAATTAATTGTTATCTGTTCTCTTTTAAGGATGCTTCAGCTGTAAATGGCGAGGTGGCTGGTTTTAACGTTATATATCATTGTCACCATCAGCATTACTCAACAGCCGTTTTCTCCCTTCCTTTCTTCTTCCTTTTTTTCTTCTCTGCTGTTTTTTCCTCCATATTATCTTCAGACTGGTATCTTTCAGGACTGCCCCTCCATGCACAGTCTCTGGTTGGTGGAGAACGGGTCTCCCCTTCAATACACAAACTCCGGCAGCATCGCCCGCTGGGGCGCACGCAGTCTGCTCCCCTTCCCCAGAACGCCCAAGCCCTCCAGCAGTTAGTGATCCAGCAGCAGCACCAGCAGTTCTTGGAGAAACACAAACAGCAATTCCAGCAACAGCAACTGCACATCAACAAGGTAGGCATGACGCTTTTAAAGTCTTTCTTCCTCATACAGCATCGATACCAACTTTAGGCGACACTATTTCACAGTTTCTTGTGCGGTAATATATGTGGTCTCGACCTCCATAACCAACTGGCCTTCATCCTTGAACCTCTTTTTCATGATTTTGAGAAATACATCAACAAGGATGTGGACATCCATCACCAAAGCGAGGATCAATAACTGTGTTGCAGACAGTGGAAAGGCAGTACAGTTCAAACTTCTGGCTTTCCAGTAATACTTTTTAAAGTTGTCATTGCTGCCGTTCATCTACATCAGGATCTTTTGTCAGTTTTGGTAGCAGAAAACATAAAATGCTGTGAAGGAATATGGGGAAAATACCTACTGTGTATATATTCAGTTTGAAAGGGAGAAGGAGCAGTAATGTGGATTTGAGAAAAAAATAAAAAGTGAGGGATTTCAGACGTGACAACACCAGAAAATAATTGCAAGTGAAGATACTCAGATTTACTGAAGCGTTTTTCACTGGAATTACCTTTGGAAAGAGAAAAGCTGTTCCCATCTCCAGTCCATATTCTCTTAACTGTGGCCCTGTGTAAAGCATTACAGTGTCCTATCCACTTCTTCTCCTGAAAATGAGGACAGTATTGCTGTGCATCCTGCAGAGGTTGTTTTGAAGATCAATTAGATGCAATTCAAAAATCTGAAGAAAGTAAGCACTATGTTTATTATCTCGCTTTCTGTAAATCACTTGGAGAACATCAGGTGAACGTTGCAGAGCACCATTCATCAGTGCACAGATTTTGCAATTGCTGCGTAGCCAAAATCATCTGTCTAGGCATCCCAATATTACAACGAAGCTGAAACAAAGCTGCTTTGAGATGATTGCATTGAGTATGCATTAAAAAGACAAAATCTATCCTGATGTTTTAGCCTATGGGAAGGTAAAACTCACCTTTTACGCGCAAGAGGTCTGATCACAAGTGGTGTGGATGGAGCTGTGACGTTCTGTCCCAGCTGAGGTTTTCTCCCAGGATTTCAGAAGGCACAGTCTGTTGCTAGACTTACAATATAAAAAGGCTGTTGGGGAAGGGGGAAATCAATCATAATCAGTATGATTTTTTTTTTTACTCTAATTTGTACTGTTTTGAGGCTTCCTAAAGACTTTTCTCAAGGAGTTCCAATGGTGGCTTTCTTTAAGAAAGAAGCAAATCCAGTAGTAGGTTTCAGGCTCGGGAGGACAAGTTTGATGGCAGGCGGACCTTTCAGATTGCTGCAGTTTAATTTATGGTGGAGGTTTCTCCAAATATTTTCACTGTTCCAGTCCTATGAGAAAATACAACTACCGAGAGCTGGATTAAAAAAAAAAAAAAAAAAAAAACACAACCCACCACACAACCCCCCAAAACTTTGTTTATAGACTCGCGCTAAGGCAGGATGATTACACAAGTTACTGACGTCAATCATGTACTTTTGGAGAGCTGCCACCGCGCACTGCGTGTGCCAGCCCTGGACCTCATTCAGCCCCGCACACCAGGGTGGTGGGGAGCTGCTGCTGCCATAGAAATTTCCCTTACCCCCCTCCAAACACACTTCGTGACCAGGATCATCGGACGCGGGGTGCTAGGTAGGGTTTCTTTGTTAGGAAATAAATGTAAGCTCGGCGGTTTGTTTGTTTGAGGTTTTTAAGGCTTTTCCGTTGCCAACGCTTGTAAGCGTCCAAAGACTTCGCCGTGACGTACCCGCTGAACTCATTCAGACTTTCGCTTGGACCTCCCAGGAGCTGGAGAGCGTGTGCTACCGGAGCCGAGCAAGTCCTCCTGCAGCACTCTGAATCTCAGCTTTGTTAGAGCTGTGATCTATCGCATCCATAGCAAAGGCAGGCAGGGGGGGAGTGTAATTAAACTGATTGCACAGGGGCGATTTCCCTGTGTTTGATTTATATAAGTAATGAGTTAAAATGGTTTCGGTACTAGCACTGTATGCGTGTGGCAAATTTATCCCATGGGATAGCATCCAAGTGCTGACATGGAAAAAGACTTTTCCCAGACGCACAGATATTTTAAGACCCTCGTGTGTAGGAGAGTAAGGGCACAACTAAAAATAATGTAATAGATTGCTGCCTTTTAATTATTAGCAGAACTGACAGCGCTGTCTGTTAAGGTTGTGTTGGATTTCCTGTAAATAATACAAGACTGTTTTCAATTGCTTGTGATTTTTCCGAACTTTAAGATTTTGGCCTTAAACTTTCCCTGTTAGGTGTCTACATCAGATTAAATTTTTGAGAAGATTGCAGCCAAAACAAGTCTTGCTGTTTCCAAGAAGGTGACTAAGGAAAAATATGTTGTTTTGCTCCTGATTAAAAATAATAAGAATAGTCATCTAGGGGATTCGGCTGTGAAGCCTTCGTGCCCGAAGCTTTGGAGCTGTAATTTGGAATTGGACAAACGAGTACAGGGCGGGTGGCTGGGTAGGGAAGGAGAGTGCAGAGGGATGGGTTGGGTGGGATGGGTCCGAAGGAGGGACAGGGCTCCTTAGGGTGACCGGAGGGGAGTGTGCTCCCCAGGGTGTGATCCCTTCCAGCACAGGCTCTGAAGTCCTCGGTCTACCGCTGTCAGCAGCAAATTGGGGATCGCTTGAGCGTAGCGAAGCACATGGTTCATCCCGTTCAGGAGCCGGCTTGCTGAGAGTGACTCCCTTGGCTCACCGCAAGGCTCTATATGGAAAATGAGGGTCCCAGCCCTGCTCATCTGGTGTTCGTGTTGTCACCTGGTCACATTTGCATTTGCTTTAAGGAGGGGAAAAAACCACACACATAAAAACCACACAACGCCCCCCAAAAATGGGGACGAAAGAGACATGCATGAAGGAAAAGAGCATTATTGAAGTTGCCACGCCGAGCACTCAAGCTAGGACATGGAAGTAGTTAAGTTTCCCATGCAAGTCTTGCACACTTTTTCTTTTTTCGCATCTTTTTGATCCAATTTTTGGTAATCAAGTGGTATCTCTTTTACAAGACTCTGAACATAGTACAGAGAAGGGTAAGAGTGAGGCTGCTCTCTGGTGACATGCTGCCTCATTTGTTGCAGAAATCGGAGGACACATAAGGAGTGGAAGAGGGAAAGGGCTAAGGCAGCTTGACGCCGTAGCAGGGAATTGGCTTTCTCCTCTCTGCCTCAGAGCCGTATCCCACTGAGCGGCTCCAGCCAGCGGGCAGCTCGCAGCGGCACGCTCATCTTCTCCATGCCGCTTGGAGTACAGGGAAATGGAGCTGCTAGCTGCAGAGGTGTGCTTGCACACCTAAAACATGTAATCTTAAAATCCACCATATCATTTTGAAACCCCCATCCAGTGGGGTTTCATAATCTCTCTCCTGGCTGCGCATTTGATGACATGGAGCAGCTCTGCTCCCTGCCTGCTGTCAAGTCATCGTGAACACAGATGTGCTAATATTCGCAGAGCACTCGTGCTCTAGTGATCGCACTGCAAAACCGTATGTAGAAATCAACAACTCTTTCTTCAAAACCAGGGTTTGAGACATTAAATGAGATTCTGGATAAGATACTGAATCACTTATTGCTAACTGAGCTATGTGCAACTTTTGATTAGAATGAGGCATGTGCCTTAGAACAGTAAATGCTAAACAGTCCTGAAAATAAAAGCTAAACGTTAACACGGGTGCGTGGAAGCACTGACCTGAAATTACACAGGTAACGTGCGCTCGTGTTTCCCACTTTTTTGCGTGTTTAACATTCAAACCTCGGGAATGGTTTTTTCCCATGGTCGGAGGAGCTTTGCTGGGCGAGGGGGTTTATTTTGCCATACAATAAATATATGCAGCAATCCTGACATCATTTCATCTTCAGCAATTACAATTTCTTGGCATACTCAGTTTCTTTTAAGATACAAATTTTAGTCTTTTATGTATGAGAGGGAGGAGCCGTAATATGCTTATGGTTCTTTGGCGTTTGGAGGTCAGCATTTGGGGGGTTATTTTTGTCGTTACAGTGAACCAGGTAAAGCAGGGTGCTGTTCTCTGAGCAGACTCCAGGTATTTTGAGTTAAAAGTGTTAGCTTTTCAGCGTGATAGGTCTTGAAGCAGCAATTCCCTTTTTAAAGAGAAATATGGAAGTGAGGTTTCTGTAAATTCTGTGCTGGAAAACTCAACTTTTTACCTTTCCATAGTGGAGACGAGTGTTTTGGCTTTAGTCCCCTGGATGTGTAATTCATGAAACCTTAGAACAAATAATCTCCCTTTTAGCCCTGAATTGTACAGTTAATCAGATTAACACTGAACTTCTGTGGTCAAATTATGGCTCTTCTGAGTAAACCCCATTTTTAACACACTCTGGAAAGTGAGGTGTTTCTTCTGCTGTGGCATATATATAGCAACGTATATACGCCAGACTATAGTGCCTCAACTTGTGGATACATTTTTTATTAACACCTAGAACTTAACCTTGCTATTTCCTGATTTTTTTTCTTTTTTGGAATGCGTTAACTGTTTAGCCTCAGTGACTCCTGGAGTAGCTTTTCATATGTAATGTTTAATTTGTAATATTAGAAAAATACAGTGTATTAGGTTGTATGGCACAGCATTCAGGTAGGGCTATTACCCTTTGAACAGGTTAAGGGAAGCCTATTTTTGAAGCACCCAGACGATAACTTTGTATATAGCAAGTATTGAAAAAGATCTCCAGAAAACTTCCTTCAGCGTTCCTGCTAGGTGTCTCAGTTGGTTGAATATGAAATGCCGTTCAGCAAGCCGTGAGACGCTTGGCATTCGTGTGCTTGTGCATCGTCACACCTATTACTGCGTAAATGCTGTTAAGTGGTTTTGCCAGGAGCCGTTGTTCTGCAGGGTGTCTGTTGCTACAGGTCTGATGATATGTAGATGTGTACCTGATATAATCAAGCCCACAACTCCAATTATTTGGGAGAGAGGGGGGAAAAATCCAGCTTCTCCTGGTGCCAAGGTGTTTTCTTCTCGCTCCCCCTCCTTTCCCCCTTCAGGC